GACTTAGTGTCTACAAAAAAATTAGCCAGGCATGGTGGTGCTCCAGATACTTGGAAGGCTAAGGCAGAGGGATCACCTGAGCCCAGGAGGTCAAGTCTGCAGGGAGTTGAGATCGTACCACTGCACTCCAGCCTGGGCAACAGAGTGAGACCTGGCTCAAAACTAACAAAAAAATTATCCATTGTATTTTTCATGTTAGACATCGTAGTGTACTTCTAGAGTTTGAGGCAGGCCTTTTTATATCTGCAGCATCTTTACTTGACATACTTGATCTTCCCTTTTGCTTCTTGAGCATATAGAATACAATGATAATAACGTAGAAGGTCCTTGTATACTAAGTTCATGATACATGTTATTTCTGGGTCAGTTGATTGATCTGTTTCTACCCTCATTATGGTTCATGTTTTCCTGCTTTTTTGCATTCCCATTCATTGTTTACTGAATTTTACCTTGTTGGGTCCTGGGTTTTGTTGTATTCCATAAATATTCTTGAGCTTTATTCTGTAGTGCAGTTAAGTTATTTGGAGGCCAGGTATAGTGGCTCATGCCTGTAATCCCAGAGCTTTGGAGGCCGAGGGGTGAGGATTGCTTGAACCCAGGAGTTGGAGACCGGTCTGGGCAACAAAGCAAGACTTTGTGGTGCCATGTGCCTGTAGTCCCAGCTACTCAGGCAGCTGAGGCAGAAGGATCACCTGAGCCCAGGAGGTCAAGGCTGCGGTGAGCTGTAATCATGCCACGCACTCCAGCCTGGGTGACAGTGAGACCCCAACTCAAAAAACAATGTTCTTTGGCAACAGTTTGACCTTATAGGCCTTGCTTTTTTAGGCAGGTCAAAAACAATGTTTAGTCTAGGATAAGTTTTGCACTACTATTGAGGCAAAGCTGTCTGAGTATTCTTCCTGAACCTCCCTGTATTCTGAGGCTTTCCTTTCTGGCTGGTGGGAACCGGAACTCTTCCTAACCCTGTGGTCCTTCTGGATGGTTCTCTTTCCACCCTCTTTCTTGCCTCTCACCCATGTGCTGTGACTCTGTGTGGGGGTGGGGGTGGGGTGGGAGGGTGTCTTGGCGGAGCTCGCCATATCATGCTGTCTCCCCTTTGTCTCCCAGCTCCATCTCTTCAACCCTCCCTCCCCTCAGGGTTTCCCTCTGCACCAAAAGTCTGGAAATTCCAGGCAGGAAGCTGGGCGATTGCCTCATTTGTATAAAGTTCTCGGGAATCTTCCTTGCCTGTCTCCCATTGTCTCATATATTTTGTCTGCCTTTTAGTTGTTACAGACAGGAAGGCGAGTTGGTTTCTGTTACTCCCATCTAGGCTGGAAGCCTCTAGATTCATAACTCAGTTCTGTTATGGAAAACCCCTTATGTTTGTAGTTGGGAGTCTAAAACGTCACTACCTTTTCCATTTGACCCGACTTTCTGTGCCTGAAAACAGGGTTCATGTTTCTTTAGGATTCTTATTTACTTAGGGGTTTTGGCTCTGGACTGGGTCTTTAGTCTTTAAACAACCTAGTTAGCCAGGCGTGGTGGCTCACTCCTATAATCCTAGCACTTTAGGAGGCAAGGACGAGAGGATTGCCTGGGCCCACAGGTTCAAGACCAACTTGGGCAACTTGGTGAGACCTCATCTCTACAATAAATAAAAAAATTAGCCAGGCGTGTGTGGCACACGTCTGTGGTTCCAGCTACTTGGAAGGCTGAGGCAGAAGGGTCGCCTGAGCCCAGCAGGTCAAGGCTGCAGTGGCCGCAAGCGTGCCACTGCACTCCAGCCTGGGTGACAGAGTGAGACCCCAACTCGAAAAAAGCAAAAAACGACCTAGTTGCACAAGTCAGTCGTTTTGTAGATAATGATCATAAATAGCTACTAGTGTCTAGTTTTTAATCGACTCTATGAAGTAACCAAGTGGTTTTGCACATGAGGATGCTGAAGTAAATTAACCAAGTCACATGGCTAGGTTGAGCTGACCAGGACTGGAGCTTGAGTTGGCTCCAAAGATCAGAGCCATTGAATCAGCACACAAAACTGCATCTGGCTGAGTTTGTTCTGTAATTCCAGCAAGAGGGCGACTGGTTCGACTGGTATAGGCTCCTCCAGCTTTCAGAACAAGCCTATGGGCCCTGTGTCGGCCATCTTGCTTTCACTTATTTTGTCTTTTGTCGGGGGGGTCTCACTTTGTCGCCCAGGCTGGCACTTGGTGGCATGATCACAGCTCACTGAAGCCTCGACTTCCTGGGCTCAGATGATCCTTTTGCTTCAACCTCCTGAGTAGCTGGGCCAGGCAAATTGTTAAATTTGCTATGGAGATGAGGTCTCTTTATGTTGCCCAGGCTGGTCTGGAACTCCTGGACTCAAGCCATCTTCCTGCCTCACAAAGTGTTGGGATTACAGGTGTGAGGAGCAGCACATCTTTTTCTTTCTTTCTTTCTTTTTTTTTTTTTTGAGTCAGGATCTCACTCTATTGTTCAGGCTGAAGTGCAGTGGCACAATCATGGCTCACTACAGCCTCGACTTTCTGGGCTCTAACAATCCTGCCTCAGCCTCTTGAGTGGCTAGGACTACAGGCTCACACCACCATGCCTGGCTGATTTTTTTTTTTTTTTTTTTTTAGGTAATTGTTTTATTGCTGTGTGTGTGTATGTGGGCCTGGGCCGTACATTCGCATAGTTCTGTTTCACAGGCTATAAGAGAATGTTTAGTGAAGACACATCTCCATCTGCCTTTCTCCCTCCAAATTCCCAAGTGCCCTCCTGCCCCACATCCTCTCTTCAATTTTAGTGTCTTTCCAGAGACAGTTTTCACAAATAAGAGCTTAGAATTGAATGGCAGGCAGCTTACTATCCTCTTCTTTCTGCCCCTGGTTTTTTTCTTTCTTCACTCGACAAGTTATTTTCAGAATATTCCATAGTAGTAATATTTTTTTAACAGTTGCCTAGGGTCCCATTGTATGGATGCACCATAGCATATGTACCCATTCTCCTTTGTTTTTTTATTTTTTTATTTTTTCAGAGTTCAGGTGCTACTGAGCCTGTTATAAAAGGTTTAGCCAAAGAGACCAAAGCCCATGTTGTCATCAGATTCTTCCTTCTTTGCTTCTACTTTCTTCTCCTCGGCGGGGCAGCAGGGGTTGGCAGGACAGGACCCCCACAGAGCCCCACCTGGGGCGGCCCCAGCCCCCACAGAGCAGATGAGGCTTCGATGTTGATGTTGGCCAGGGCCTTTGCAAACAACTCAGTCCAGAAATGTTCCACAGTCACACCAGCTGCTTTAATGACGGTGTTGATCTTATCCTCTGTGAGGGTCACCTGAGGGCTGAGTAGATGCGGGCGAGCTCAGACACTGAGGCCATAGTGCGGCAAGTGCAGGGCTGGAGCTGCCAGGCACAGTGCTAATCGCCAGATGAAGTGAGGGCCTCACCCCAACACGCCTTAGTTTCCTCAGAAGGACGGAGCACCTTGGCAGCAGCTGGGGAAAGGGCCCCATTCTCCATTAAAAGACTTTGAGTTGTTTTCAGACCTGGTCTGGTGGCGCACTGCCTGTAACCCCAACACTTGGGGAAACTGAGGAGGAAAGGCAACATGGCAAGACCCTATCTCTACCCCCAAAAGTGTGTGTCTATAAATTATTATTAAGTCATGGTGGCATGTGCCTGTAGTCCCAGCTACTCAGGAGGCTGAAATGGAAGGATCTTGAGGATGCAGTGAGCTATAATCACATACCACTGTACTACAGCCTGGGGCAACAGAGCAAGATCCTGTCTCCAAAAAAAAAGACTTTAAGTTATTTCCAAACTTGTGCTATTATAAACAAAGCTACAAAAAATATTCTTGTGTGTTTGTGTATGTGTGCACATGCATCTGCATATGATTTCCCACATGTGAAACTGTATCTACAGGATAAATTCCTAAATCTGGGACTGCTGTGTCAAAGCGGTTGTTTTTCAAATGTGAGTGGCTGTGACTCACTTGCTTTTCAGAGATGATTGACACCGTCGCAACAGGGTGTGAGGGTACCTGTGTCCCCATACTCCCCCAACACAGTTCACTAAACTTGTTTTGTGCTTGTATTTTTAAAATAATGGTTGTAGACACACCAGCAAAGGGTCACCTTTGTGACAGGTGATAGTAGTAATTCACTGCATTTGTCTGGTAGTAAACCAAGAAACAAATGACCAAAATGAATTCCTTTTTATTTATGATCATTTACTCAACTTGGTCCATAGATTTCACTGTGCCTTATCCTAGGGGTGGAAAGGTCTATGGCTTTGTCTCTGCCCCCAGACAGCTCATCGTAGAATCATATACAGAGGGACACAAGAGAAGTGGCTGTGATGTGGTGTGCCTTCTCTAGATATTGGGGCAAGGAAAATTGTTGCTGGAGTGTTTTCTGGATGTGCTGCCAGGGACTGTTGATTCTGTTGAGCTTGACAGTGAATGCTGTCCCAGAAGCAGCCCAGGTGGAGAGTAGGAAGCTGCTCCTGCCACCAAGCTAGCATGGAGTGGATTCATTTTGGGGGGGAGGGGTGTCAGGGTCTCACTCTGTTGCCCAGGCTGGAGTGGAGTGGCTTGGCCACTGCTCACCTCAGCCTCAACCTCCTGAGCTCAGGTGAGTCTCCTGCCTCAGTCCCCTGTGTAGCTGGGACTACAGGCACACACCACCACGCCCAGCTAATTTTTTTTTTTTGGTAGAGACTAAGTTCTGCTACGGTGCCCAGGCAGGTCTTGAACCCCTGGGCTCAAGCAGTCCTCCCGCCTCGGCCTCCCAAGGTGCTGGGGGATTCGAGGCGTGAGCCACCGTGCCCAACCGGATTCTGTAAACCGAGCCTCATCTGGAACGGGATCTGCACCTCCCTGCAGAGTTGCCGGGCTCATGCAGGAAATCAGCTGCCTGTGATTGGAGGACGGCCGGTTGGGAGAATGAGCTTGGCAGTGTCGGCAGAGGTGATTGGCCGGGCCCTGCTGCAGTGAGAATGCAGACTGGACGCTCGGGTCCCCGGCCGGGTGATGAGGACAGCTGAATGATTGGAAGCTTGAAGTTGCTTCTGCCCCCGGGAGAGGCCCGCTGGGCTGTCGCTTCCTCCCTTTTTCTTAAAGCCCGTAGAAGTGTTTCTTGAAGAAGCTCCAGCTGTTCTCTGCGTCGTGCCAGCCGCCCGGCGAGACTCCCTCAGAGCGAGCTCCTTCGCAGGCCGGGCACGACAGCAACGCTAGCACATTCGAAAAAGCAGGAAACAGTCCCTGCATGCAGCGCTTCCAGCCCGAGGACTCCCCAGGCTAGGCTTCCAAGTGGCCGTGGAGCCAGGGAGCCTTGGCATTGTGGTCACGTCCCTCAAAAGTGAACCGTCACCACCGGCGGCTTTCGCCGGAGGCCGTGATGTTGCAGATGCTGTGGCATTTCCTGGCCGGCTTTCTCCCTGAGGCTGGGTGCCAAGGCTCCCGAGGGGTGGACCATCACGAAGTCAAAAGCACCCCAGCCCCTGCTCGGGGAGACCAGATGGCCAGCTTTTCGGGGAAGCAGGACGAAAGGGCTGAGGCCACAGAAAAGAGACCCACCATCTTGCTGGTGGTCGGACCTGCAGAGCAGTTTCCTAAGGTAATGGCAGCCTCCAGGACCTCCTGGTTCAGGGGCCGGTCTGGAGTCATTTTCCCGGAGGAAGAAACTGGGGTGTGGGAGGGAGGACTTAAAAAATCAGCTTGGTTTGGGGGGTCTGACAATGAAGAAGCCCACAAGTTCAGTCCAGGGTCTCTCTAAGGCCACTATGAAAGGTGTTACCCATTATGGTCACCCTGGGTGGTTGCTGAAGGAAGGAAGGTTGAGTTCAATAGACTTGCTTTAGAATTTCTCAGTTTGGCCACAGAAAGCCAATTGAAAGTAAGGGACTAACTATTGAGTGTGTTTTAGCTTGTCTGAACAATGAGAAGAATGTACTGTGAAGTAGAACCCAATTACTTGGGGATGGAGGGCACTGAAGGTCACACTCCCCTTGCCTCCATTGGATTGTCTGACCTTTGGGTCTGAGAGGAAGAGTGCAGGGGCTGGGCTGGGTGTGAGGGGAGGCTGGAGTCGCAAAGCACAGAGGCTGGTGCAGAGGCTGGTGCCCCTGTGGGAATGACCACCGCCACTGTGGATCGCTGAGTGTGGGGCCTCTCATCCTTCCTAAACCCTGATATCCCACCTGGTCCTCACCAGAGCCAAGGTAAGTGGTAATGCCCCCATTTCATAGATGAGAAAGCTGAGGTGCAAAGAGGGTAAATACTTTGCTTAATGGCTAAACCATTAAGAGAGGTGGAGCTGAGATTTAACCCCCAGATCTGTCCGGAACTGAATTCTAAAACCTTTTTGTGATATCAGTTTTGGGTGATGTTTTAAGTGGATATTGTAACAAGATTTGGATATTGGATATTGCCCAGTGCTGCCTCATTTTCCCTTAAGAAAGCAGGTTTTAATGGGGCTGAGTTCTCAGGGTTAGAAAGAAAATTTGCATGTGGCTGAGATCTCTTCTGCCTGTGGAAGGAGTGACCTTGTTCACCTCCTGAGCTTTGGTTATTCTGAATCCTTTCTCTTTAGCCAGGAAGAAAATCGATCAGGGAAGGGAAGGAGATGGTGCCCTGTGTCTGGCACATTGTAGAGACCCCAAAAAATGTTTGTTGAATGGAATTGCTACACTTAAGCAGTAAATGTTCATTTTGTTAACAGAGAGGGACTGTTGATGTAATAACTTTTGTGGTCATGTGGGCACCGAGACTCCTTCATCTGTGACAGGCTCCCTGTGGGTGTCAGGGGTGTCTCAGGGTCTGTTATCCCTGAAATGTGTGTGTTTCATTTGCAAGGAACGGGTGTCACTCTCTACCTTTTGATTGTTTTAGACATTGGAAATGATGTGGTGGTAGTTTGTGTGAAACTTTTTTTTGAGACAGTGCCTTGCTCTGTCATGCAAGCTGGAATGGAGTGGTACAGTCACAGCTCACTGAAACCTTGAACTCCTGGGCTCAAGTGATCCTTCTGACTCAGCCTCCTGAGTAAGCTGGGACTATGGATGTGTACTGCCATGACTGGTTAATTTTTAAAGTATCTTTTGTAGAGATGGGGGTCTCGTCATGTTGCTCAGGCTGGTTTCGAACTCTGGGCCTCAAGCAGTCCTTCCATCTCAGTCTCCCAGAGTACTGGGATTACAAACTCGAGCCACTGTGCCTGACTGGGAACTTTTCATCTATACCTATGGCCTGGATTGGCCAGCTAGCTGCCTTTTAAAAATAACCTACTTTTGACTTTAATAATTAACTGTTCCATTTTCCAGCATCATAGTGCACCTTTGCCAGCGCCCCTCCAGGGGGTTGCCTCAGGGCAGGACTTTCTGTTCTGAACAGCTTGGTTTCTGGCCTGCAGAATTAAGATCCACACCTTTTGCCACTCTGTTCCCTAAAAGAGGGGTGGGTCAGCTGAATGTGTGTGGGAAGCCCCAAGAAAGATGGAGCGTCTGGTGTGGTTTAAAGCAAGAGAGAAAGCACATCTGGGCAACTGTAGACCAGAGACGCAGATAAGCCAGGAAGGAAAGGTAGGGGCATGGATGGAGTGTCCACCCTTACCAGGGCACTGCGCTGAAAGCGTTTGGGGTTTGTGTTCACCAGCTGATTGAGCTTGGCCTGACCAGTCCTCAAGAAGAGACTTGGAATGTGTTGGAAATGTCTTAGAGAAGTTCCCTTGGTGTGGAGGCCTGTCAGTGTCCCAGAGGCACTGCTTTGTTTTGCTCTTACTTCCTCTGCTTACAAGTGTCTGCTGGAGAGTCAGGTTTCTGCAGGCTTTCATTCTAGGAGCTGTTCCACTTTTCCCTTTATCTCTGTCTTCCACTTGATCTGCAGTTGGAGAAAGGCCCTTACTCAGGAGAGGGCGGTGCCCTCCGAGGCATTCAAGCTTTCAAATCCTGAGGGGCTGTCTTCTCAGAAGAGCAGAGAGTTTTGCTCATTGTGTGTGTAATTGGCAAGCGTAGGCAGGTTTTGTTGGAAACTGGTGAGGCTGGGCTGTCATGGCAACCTGATCATCAAACTACGCTGCGGCCACAGCTGCCAATGAGGGTTAAGAGCCTCATGGGTGGGTGGGGCCTGTGCAGCCGGATGCTGGCACGGCTCCTTCCCATATCATTAATATTTCTAGCTTGGTCTGAGTCATTGCAGAAGAAGGGGAGAAACTTTCTGACCTAATGCTACACTCCCAAAGGCACGATACCTGCCCTGTTCTTACTCATGGCATTCTGGTCCTTGCAGGAAGCACCTGCTTCTTTTGGACATGTAACAGTGGTAGAACAAGAAAGTCTCATGGCAACACTGATAGATTTGCCGTGAGAAGATGCTCAGGAGAGGAACTGCTACTTTACAGATGAAATAAGATGATGCCACTGCTCCCAAGGGGTCTACTATTGCTGTCTTTGTTGCCCAACACCAGTCATAGACATGGGTTTTGGAGGAGAGGAAACAAACAGATCTGTGCCACAAAGTCAGAATAAGTCAAGAACAGAGAAACCTACACAACGTAGTGCATTATGCCCTGATTTTGGAGCGCCAAGAGGTGGCGTGAAATGTCAGAATGAATCACGAGGCCTGCTCTATTTCTTTTTTTTTTTGAGTTGGAGTCTCACTCTGTTGCCCAGACTGGAGTGCAGTGGCTGCTCCCGGCCACTGCAGCCTCGCCTGCTGGGCTCCGGTGATCCTTCCGCCTCAGCCTTCCAAGTAGCCGGAATTACAGGCATGCGCTACCACGCCCGGCTGATTTTTTGATTTATTGTAGAGATGAGGTCTCGCTGCCCAGGCGGGTCTCGAACCCGCGGGCTCAGGCAATCTACTCACCTCAGCCTCCCAAAGGCGCGGGATTACAGGCTGAGCCACTGAGCCCGGCTTCTTATTGTATTTTTCATAGGTGTTCAGAAACGGCGACACCAGAGACAGTTCTGAGTTGCTTTTAGTTAAAGCCTAACTTGATCAAGTTCCAGCTTTCCCACACACCTGCCGCCTTCCAGCACAGGTATCACCGACTGTGGTTCCCAGTAGCTGGCTTACCAATATTCTTTGGGAACTGAATTCTAAAACCTTTTTGTGATATCAGTTTTGGGTGATGTTTTAAGTGGATATTGTAACAAGAGCTCAGCCCTGTGTGTGAGGCTCAGCCATGCCACCAGCACTTTGGGACTTGGGCAAGTAAGTCATCTCTCTGTTCTGCTTGTTCAAATCAGAGATTAAGGGGTGATTCCAAAGGCCCTCTGGGCCCCCACAGTCTGCAATTCCAGGAACAGTACAACTGCCCTAGACTAGGCACCTAGACATTGGTTCATCTGGAAAGAACTTCACTGTGTGAAAATGGGGTTCTGAGTTACTCATGAGAGTCAATAAGATGGTTTAAATAAACAAACAAACACCTGGCCAGGTGCAACTCATGCTTGTAATCTCAGCATTTTGGGAGGCCAAGGCGGGAGGATCACTTGAGTCCAGGAGTTGAGAGTCAATGGGATGGTTTAAATAAATAAGCAAACACCTGGACAGGTGCAGCTCATGCTTGTAATCTCAGCACTTTGGGAGACCAAGGTGAGAGGATCACTTGAGTCCAGGAGTTTGAGACCAGCCTGGGCAACACAGAGAGACACTGTCTCTACAAAACATAAGAAAAATTAGCTGAGCATGGTGGTGTGTGCCTGTAGTCCCAGCTACTTGAGAGGCTGAGGCAGAAGGATTGCCTGAGCCCAGGAAGTCGAAGCTGCAGTGAGCTGTGACCATGCCGCTGTACTCCAGCCTGGGTAACAGAGTGAGACCTAACATAAATAAATAAGCAAGCAAGCACCGATTTCAGTTTCTCCAATGAAGGCATCCTGTGGGACTCAATCACAGCGGCAAAATAAAAGTGGATTAAAACCCTTTTTAAAACTAATGTTGGGCCAGGCTCTGTGGCTCAGCCTGTAATCCCAGCACTTTGGGAAGCTGAGGAGAGTGGATTGCCTGAGCCCTCAGGTTCAAGACCAGCCCAGGCAACTTGGCAAGACTTCATCTCTACAATAAAATAAAAAATAGCCGGGCATGGTAGCACACATCTGTAGTCCTGGCTTCTTGAAAGGCTGAGGTGGAAAGATCGCCAGAGCCCGGTAGGTCAACGTTGGGATGGCCGTGAATGTGCATGCCACTGCACCCCAGCCTGGGCAAAGGAGTGAGACTCCAACTCAAAAAAAAAAAAAATTAATGTCGGAATAGAGTTTATGTTTCCATTGTAAAATAACGTCTTAACAAGCACCATACAGAATATTCCAGAATATTTTCTGATCCCTTGATACTGTTTGTTTGTATAGAGCTTTATTCAATAAAAAAGATTCTGGTTTTTTCCTAGGAAACAGTTTTTTCTTATTTGACAATCTTTAATAATTTCTCCTTATAATATATAATGTAGGTTTCCCTTTTATTTGGTATTGTTTTCAAACCTCAGGTTTGTTTTGAAGTGCATTCTAAAACTCAGTGGTACAGTCATGTTGACCGAAATTATTTGAAAACTATACCTTATTATGAAATGATCTTTAATTGACCAACTTATTTATTCAGCCAAAAAAATTGCTATTTTAT